CCCCAAAACCCCAAAACCCCAAAACCCCATCATATAGTATTTGATGAAGCTATTCTGAACTAAATATAAATTCAAAATCTAAAATGAAATCAAATTCTGTTCTCATCACCTTATTAGCAGCTACTTTGTTATTGCTTACTCATCAGAAACCTCAGTTGAAATTCAATGCATTAGGCAAATTTAAAATTCTCTAACTCACAGATATTCACCTCGGAGAAAGAGAGGATCTTGACATTAGAACTCTCGAAGTTATTAGAACTGTTATTGAGAAAGAAAAACCAGAGATGGTATTTATTTCCGGAGATGCAGTATCAGGGTACGCTTGGGATAAGAACACAACTGGGTGGTTTGATTATTAATTCAGAAAATTAGAGAGAGTGCTGGCAGAGTTTAAAATGCCTTGGGCATTTACAGCTGGTAATCATGACGCAGAAGGTGATTACGATAGATAATAAATTTCTAATTTAATAAGATCATTTGAGAATAGTGTAACTTTACCGAATGCCGGTAAACTCTCCCATGAGTTTAACTATGTGCTACCAGTATACAGTAATGACGGTAAAAATATAGAATTTAGGCTATGGTCAATTGATACTGGTGCCTCCTATGGATGCATGGGATCTCATGGATATGACTGTGTAAGAGATGACTAGATCTAGTGGTTCAGACAAGCTAATCAAAACATTTCATCTGATGATCCTACTAAAGGAAAGGCCATTCTTTTCACTCATATTCCTATGCATGAATACATGAACTTGTATAACTATAATGATATCTTCGGTTTGAAGGGAGAAGAGGTTTGCTGTCCAGCTGTGAATACTGGATTATTTAGTGCTATAGTTGAAGACAAGACGGTGGAGTGGGTAACCTGCGGTCATGATCATAACAATGACTATCATGGAACTTGGGAGGGAATACACCTAGCATATGGTAGAAAAACAGGATACGCTTCCTATGGTCCCCAAAGCTTTCTAAGAGGAAGCAGAATTTTTGAGATTACTCTAAACCCATATAAAATTGACACTTGGATTAGATAAGAAGATGGAACTGTCGATAAAAAGGATGGCTATACATAAAAAGTTTTAAAGGCAACAAGTCAATAGTACTGCTGTGGTTTAACTGTTATTAATAACGATGAAAGTCAATCAATGAAAATCGCAGCTAATTTGCTTTTGATTATTGGAGCTCTCGTAATTTCTCTGAGTTGAATTTGTCTAATGTTTAAACTAAATAATTTACTGAAATTTTTTTTCAAATACTTACTTGATGGGGTTTTGGGGTTTTGGGGTTTTGGGG